AAATGGGCAAATGACATGAATAGACACTTCTTCAAAGAAGACATCCAGATGGCCACCCGACACATGAAAAAATGCTCAACATCACTCATCGTCAGGGAAATACAAATCAAAACCATAATGAGATACCACCTCACACCTGTCAGAATGGCTAACATTAACAACTCAGACAACAACAGATGTTGGTGAGGATGAGGAGAAAGAGGATCTCTTTTGCATTGTTGGTGGCAATGCAAGCTGGTGCAGCCACTCTGGAAAACAGTATGGAGGTTCCTCAAAAAACTAAAAGTAGAACTACCCTACGACCCAGCAATTGCACTACTAGGCATTTATCCATGGGATACAGGTGTGCTGTTTCAAAGGGGCACATGCACCCCCATGTTTATAGCAGCACTATCAACAATAGCCAAAGGATGGAAAGAGCCCAAATGTTCATCAATGGATGAATGGATACAGAAGATGTGGTATATATAAACAATGGAGTATTACTCGGCAATCAAAAAGAATGAAATCTTGCCATTTGCAACTACATGAATGGAACTAGAGGGTGTTATGCTAAGTGAAATTAGAGAAAGACAAAAATCATAGGACTTCACTCATATGAGGACTTTAAGAGACAAAACAGATGAACATAAGGGAAGCGAAACAAAAATAATACAAAAACAGGGGGACAAAACAGAAGAGACTCAGAAATATGGAGAACAAACTGAGGGTTACTGGAGAGGTTGTGGGAGGGGGATAGGCTAAATGGGTAAGGGACACAAAGGAATCTACTCCTGAAATCATTGTTGCACTATATGCTAACTAATTTGGATGTAAATTTTTAAAAATAAAAAATTAAAAAAAATTAGAATCTTGAGATGGAAATAAAAAAGCAACTACTTATATACAAGGAAAACCCTGTAAAACTATCAGCTGATTTTTCAGCAGAAACTTTGCAGGCCAGAAGGGAGTGGCAGGCTATATTCAAAGCGCTGAAAGGAAAAATACCTACAACCAAGAATACTCTATCCAACAAGGTTATCATTGAGAACTGAGGGAGAGACAGTTTCCCAGAGAAAAATTAAAAGAGTTCATCAATATTAAATTGACCTTCTAAGAAATGTGAAAGGACTTTAAGCAGCAAAGACCATAACTGATATAAAAAAATTGTTAAAAGAAAAACCTTTACTAGTAAAAGCAAATATATAGTAAAGTTGGTAAATCAGTCACATAAAGCTGTTATGAAGGTTAAAAGACAAAAGTAGTAAAATCAATTATACCTTTAAAAAATTAAAGGATTCAAAAAATGAAAGATGTAAAATATGATGTCACATACGTAAAACATAGCGGAGGGGAGGAGTAAAAATGTAGTGCTTTGAAAATGTGTTCAAACTCAAAACCATCAACTTAATACAGACTGCTATATACTTAGAATGTTTTATATATGAACCTCATGGTGACCACAAACCAAAAACCTGCAACAGATACACAAAAAGGAGAAAAAATTCTGAGCATAAGACTAAAGAAAGTGATTAATCACAAGAGTAGAAGAGAAAAAGAGAAAGAAATAGAGAATATGAAAATAACCAGAAAGCAATTAACAAAATGATAATCATATGTCTATCAATAATTACTTTAAGTGTAAATGGTGCAAATGCTCTAAATGATCCGATCAAAGGACATAAGGTAACTGAATGGATAAAAAAACAAAAAAAGACCTATCTATATGCCATCTCTAAGAGATTCACTTCAGACCTCAAGATACATGTAAACTGGAAGTTAAGGGATGGAAAAAGACCATGCAAATGGAAGCAAAAAAAAAAAAAAATCTCCGTAGCAATGCTTAAATCAGGCAAAACAGACCTTGATACAAAGACTGTAACAAGAGACAAAGAAGAGCGTTACATAATGATAATCCAATAAGATAATATGACACTTATAATATAAATATCTATGCAGCCAACATGGAAGCAAGCTGATTTTATGTAAAGTAACAGACATAAAGGGAAAATTTGACAGTAATAGCATAATAGGAGAGTTTAACACCCCAGAAAATAAGGAAATAATTACTTTGAATGACACGTTAGACCAGGTGGACTTAACAGATACATGCAGAACATTCCATCCAAAAAGAGCAGAATGCACATTCTTTTCAAATGCACCTAGAACATTATTCAAGACAGTAACCACCATGGAAAAAGAGTATGGAGATTCCCCCAAAAATTAAAAGTAGAAATACCATATGATCCAGCAATTCCACTTCTAGATATTTATCCAAAGAAAATGGAAATACTAATTCAAAAAGATATATACACCCCTATGTTTATTGCACCATTATTTACAATAGCCAAGATATGGAAAAGACCCAAGTGTTCATCCATACATGAATGGATAAAGAAGATGTTGTATATATACACATTGAACCAGCACTCATCCAGTAAAAAAATGAAATCTTGCCATTTGCAATAACATGGATGAACCTCGATGGTATTAGCTAAATGAAATAATTCAGACAGGGAAAGACAAATAACATGATTTCACTTACATGGGGAATCTAAAAAGCAAAACAAACAGAAGAGACTCATAAATACAGAGAACTGGCCCTTGCTAGAAAGGAGTGGGTGGAGGATGGGCAAACTAGGTGAAGGTGATTAAGAGATACAAACTTCCAGTTATGAAACAAATAAGTTTCATAGAATGGAACATACAGTATAGGGAATAGAGTCAGTAATATTGTAATAACACTATGATGACCATGGTAACTACACTTATTGTGGCGAGCTTTTCATAATGTATATAATTGTCCATTGACTATGTTGTATACCTGAAACTAATATAATAGCATATGTATAACTATACTTCAATTTAAACAATTAATTTTAAATATATAAATAAAAATGTAAGAACAATAAGTATATATGTGTTTATAAATATACTTTGGAAATATTACTCTAGTGTTGCTATTAAAAAGTCAAATGTGAATCTAATCCCTTTTTCTTATAGATGACTTGTTTCTTTCTCTCTGGAATTGTTTTCTTTTCTTAAATTTCAACCTAGTGTGTCAAAGTGTTGACACATTTCCTCTTTATCTCTCTTGTTTTGTATACAATAATTCCATTCAACCTTTCCTTGATTGTAGGAAATTTTCAATTAGCAGTTCTTCAAATATTTAGCTTTTATTTCTTTCTCTATTTGGGCCTCTATTAATCAGATGTTGACAGTTATTCTATTTTTCATACTCCTTTAATTTTTCTTTCATTTTTTTGATGCCTTCTGGGAATGTTTCAAAACATATTCCATCTCATTAATTCACTCATCAACTGTATTCTTTCAACCCATGAATTAAGTTCTCTATTTCTATTCAATCTGATTGGTACTTTTAACTTCTTGTCCCTGATTAATGTATCCAATGCCCTTCTATATGCCCTTGAGAATATTTATTAGGATTATTGTAAATCCTTCTTCTCTGGATCATTAGTTTTGCTCCTTCTGGAATTAGTTGCTCAGTCTGTGATCTCTCCTTTCCAGTGCTTTACATCAGTGTTCTTCAAATGTCCCTTTATTTGTCCTGTACCTTTCAGAGTATCAGCTATAGTGTTCATATTATATTCTGAGTTCCATCCATATCCCACTTGCTTCTAAGGCATGTCCAGAATTAGACTCAAAGAAGGAAAACCACAATTGCTATAAATTCCCCATCTTAACTCACCTGTAACACAAACTAGATTTAATCACCTCAAGATTTATCCTGATTTGACTTGGTTACCTTTTCATATTGAGTAGAATTAGACTATCTCACAGAATCACCAGACATTTCCCATTTGTTTATGGAAAAAGACAGTTTTCTAGGGCTTTTGGGAGGGCTAATCATGGCCAGTGGCAAATAACTGTAGAAAAGGTAATTCTTTCTAAATGTAAAAACGTCTTGGGACTTTACTACTTTGTGATTGTTACAGTGAATGTTATTTTCCTTCCTCCCCATCATAGACCTATGGGATATATATTTGTTAATTCAAAAATTATTAAATTTAAGTTTCGAGGATTTTTTTAAATTTTTTTCGGGTTTTTTACATTTATTTTTGAGAGAGAGGCAGAGCATGAGTGGGGGAGGGGCAGAGATAGGGAAACACAGAATCTGAAGCAGTCTCCAGGCTCTGAGCTGTCAGCACAGAGCCTGATGCAGAGCCCAAACCCACAAACGAGATCATGACTTGAGCCAAAGTCAGGTGCTTAACCGACTGAGTCACCCAGGCGCCCCTGTTGAGGATTTCTTAACTAAATTCTTACCCCCAAGATAGCTGGAGAAGCCTCTTGCATTTTACAAAACCAGTTTGTATATTGCTTACCTAAAAATGTAATAGAAATTGTTTTGGCATGTTTTGTGGAATTATTTCTGTCTTGCCTTCATGTTCTTGATTAATCAGTGTGTGTATCTTACCAGACACCTGTGCAGATGGCTAGCCTTTTCTTTTGATCTGACATTCACTTATCAACAAATATTTGTTGAACATTTGCCATACTACTGTTCTAGTTGCAGGTGCCCAGCAAGCTGAAGACACACAGTTCCTGCTTTCACAGAGCCCTAGAGTTTAATAAAGAATTCAGACTGAATGTAGTTTCTATTAGAGCAGGGGTTTTTTTTCTGTATTGTTTTTTATTGAATACCAGGCACCTAGAACAGTATAAATATTGGTTGAATGCTAAACAGGTAAATACTGCAGACTAATTACAAGTATGTCGAGTGTTACAGAGGGAAAGTGCAGGGTGCCGTGGGGTATAACAACAGGAGCCTTACCTGCTCTGGAGGATCATAAAGAATTAAGTCTCTCACTGACAAAGTCATCCCTTTAGAGTAGTTTATGCAGGCTCAGTTAAAAAATCAGTACTTATTTCCTATTCAGGCCATTGAAGCTTGAACCACCCTGGATTTTTCAAAACTGATTCCTATAAATGAGAAATTAGATGAATTGCTTAATAGTACCATATGTTGATAGAAATGAAAGAAAAAAAAATCAGTTTAACGATGCTCATTTGTGTCTCTTGCTTCTTGTCTCTCCACTCCCTCACCCCATTTTCTTTTCTGTCTTACAGATGAAGGAGCTTCTATGCACCCTTGCGATGATACCTACTGTGGACCTTTCCCAGAATCTGAGCCGGAAGTGAAAGCTGTAGCCACCTTCCTCCGAAAACACAGGAAGCACATTAGGGCTTACCTCTCCTTTCATGCATATGCTCAGATGTTGCTATATCCCTATTCTTACAAATATGCAACAATCCCCAATTTCAGCTGTGTGGTAAGGTTTTGACCATGTATATGTGTGTGTCAAGCTTTCTTCTTTTCTAACACTAACATGGTTCTAAGCAGTAATGACATATAGCAAACACATATTGTGTTTATGCTAATAAGCATTCTTTATGTATTGACTCATTTTTCATAATTATATGAGGTAGGTAACTATTATTATCCCCGTCTTACAGATGAGGAAACTGAAACCTATGGAAATTAAGCAATTAGACTAACAACATACACCTACTAAGAGCCATAGCCAGGATCCAGCCCCAAATCTAGCTCCAACATTGTCGCTTTTGACTGCCATGCTGTGCTGCTTCTCAAATGCAATCATTTCAAACCGATTTACATTCTTACCACAGGTTATACGGAAAGTGTCAGGATGGATTTGATTAGTATTACAGCTTCAGTCACATGTTCAGGGCTATAATTAATTTTATTGAGTAAATAATTGTTCATAAATTATGGTCTGACTCTCATTAATTAAAAGCAAGTTTTAATTTATAAGCGCTCTTTGCTTAATGGTACTAAGTCTCTGGGCATCTATTTGACAAGTTAGCACTCAGAATGAACAGCCCTTCAGGCATTAGAATACTTGTCAGTGATTAAGCAGAGTTTCTTTCTCTCCTCATCTCAGAAACCCAACAAGCTATCCACTGTAGGGCAAAATTCTTTGTAAAGTGAGTCTCGTTCAGAGCCAATAGCATCTAAAGGTCTATAAAATTCAAAACTAGGTCAAACTAATATATAGTGTGAGGAGTGAGGAAGAAGGAAGAGGTAAAGGGGAGAGGGCTTTGGGGTTGCTGTTGATGTTCTATTCTTTGACCTGGATACTGGTTATATGAATGTGTGCAATTTGTGATCATTCATTGAGCTATAAACTTAAAATTGTTATATTATTCTATGTGGATGTTAAACTTGAATTAAAAGCTTTGATAAAAGACAAGCACCCCCTTTCTTCCTATACCTTGAACTCTAAATCCTTCACCAGTTGGTTGGAGTTGCAGGAATCCCAGATCTAGGTGTCCAGGACCTGGAAGGAATGGGGAACATGAGGAAGAAGGCCCGAGGGAAGGCTTGTATTCTGTCCAAAAGAGGAATTTTGTTCTTGGCATTCCAAGCAAGAATTCTGAGCAAATTCTCTTTCTTGAGAAATTTTGTAAAGCTGGTAGTTCTATTTAAGAATGCTATTCTTCAGCTACTCCGTGTCAACAGACTTCTTGTTGTCGTCGTCGTTGTTGTTGTTGTTAACTTGACAGCTTAACCACCCTGTATCACACAAAGCTTCTCTAGGCAAATATTCACCCCTTTCTGAATTGGGCACAATGTCTATTTATGTTCTCACAACAGATAATGTGGAGTATGCAATATATTAAATCTATTACATGAGAATGTTCTCCATATTTTGAATTTAGCTTGCTATCAGAAGTTAAGCCTATTTTAATTTTGTCTTAGGTTGGATGTTGTGGTATAAAGAGTAGATCAGTGATTCACAACCAAGAATGAATTTGCCTCCCACGGGACATTGAACAAGGTTGAAGACATTTTGATTGTCACAACAAGGCTGGAGGATGTTATTGGCATCTAGAGGATAGAAGCCAAGGATACTGCTAAATGTATAGGACAGCCTCCACAGCACAGAGTTATTTAGTCCAGACTGTCAATAGTGCCACTGTTGAGAAATCCTGTTACCAGGTTACATATAAGCTAAGTCATTACAGCCAAGATTAAAATTCTCAGAAACTAGGTAGTCTCTGAATGTTAACCAGAAACCATTAAATTCTAATAAATTGTTCAAAAACATTTCCATCAATATGGTAGAGTCTGTGTTTCTGCTAACATTTTTAGGTCATTCATTAAGCTGCTTTAAATATGGAAATAATTGGGGACACCTGAGTGGCTCAGTTGGTTAAGCATCCGAATTTTGATTTCAGCTCAGGTCATAATCTCAGAGTCATAAATTCAAGCCCCGCTGAGCATGGAGCTTGCTTGAGATTCTCTCTCTCCCCCTCTCTCTGCCCTTCCCCCACTCACTCACACATTCTCTCTCAGAAAGAAAAGAAGAGGGAAAAAAAGGAATAAAAAATAAGCCTTATTTAGCTGAGGTTCAATAAGTGAGACCTGGAGGCGCCTGGGTGACTCCGTCAGTTAAGCCTCCAACTTCGGCTCAGGTCATGATCTCGCGGTTCATGAGCTCGAGCCCCATGTTGGGCTCTGTGCTAACAGCTCAGAGCCTGGAGCCTGCTTCAGACTCATGTGTGTGTGTCTCTCTCTGCCCCTCCCCTGCTCACGTTCTGTCTCTCTCTTTCTCTCAAAAATAAATGAAAACATTTAAAAAAAAATTTTTTTAATAAGTGAGGCCTGGGACAAGTGGAAAGAGGAAACAATAAAGAAAGGAGGAATTGCTTAAACTCTTTCAAATAGGTGTCTAGCTACACAACCCTGGAAAATAATTCTTGGAAAATGTTATGAAGTTTTCATTTTTTGTGGAATGATCCTATCTAAACCTCTCACCAACATGCACCTGCACCTGAGTGGCAGAAGTGCAGGGAGCTCAAAAGGCTAAAGCTATGCCTATGGTTTTTTTGCAAAGAGGCCAAGAGGTTGTGTTTTTTTTTTTCTTAGTAGATTTCGGGGTGGGAATTTAGTCCTCTGGAATAATGAGGAACAAAACTCTCCCCACCAGCAGAATGCAATAATCTTCTAAATGTAGAAATATCTGCCCTTGCCATGGAATATTGCTAAAACCATTGGAGAAGATGTTAAAATCTTAGAACATTCTCCATAAAGGTTTTTGGTATTAGGGTGTTTACATTCCTTCTCTGTTGGCTCCTGAGAGGAGAAATTCATCATCAGTGAGATCAATAATAAATTGTCTGCCAGGTTCTGGAGCCTGGCCCCTTAATATCCACAACAAGTGGCATTTGCTGCAGAGGCTGCTTTATTCATCCCTGAGGTGAATGAGGACAGCAAGCTGCAGCCAAGGCCAACACACGGCACCATGTTGCCCAGAGTACTTCAACTGATGTATTAAATTATTCATAGGCAAATTGAAACGGGAGAGTTGTATACTGGTTTCAACATACTTCTTTTCCTCTTGCTGGTCATACAATACTTCTCTGACTCCTTATTGAAACTAATGCTGCTATACCATTTGAAAATGTTTTGAAGTGTAGTCCGTATCCTTTCAGTTCATGTTAGAATATTCACCTTTTAGTAGTTTTGTTGTGTTGATTATTCTTCCGATTTTTGGCATTGATTGGAACAGTTCCACCTCAGAATTTCTACATCTTAGCAGTACCTGAGCTCCGTCAGAGGCGTATGTAACCTTAGAAGTCATGGAGCATTCTGAAATTGTATTCCCATTCCCCTGGGGATAAATGAATAGCATAAGAGAAGTCACTCTTCCTGAACTAAAGGGTTTCTTAATTGATGCAAATGTGCTTTAAATACCTTGTACATAGCCACTGAAGTATGTACTTAAGGATCAATAAGATTATCTTGATACTCTTGCAGAGCTATGCTTATTCAACATTCATGCAAGAAATATTGATTAAGCATCTGTTATACACAGGCACATTGCTAAACACTGCATATGTAGCCTTGAGGAAGACTGACGTTCTTCCCTATCAAGTATTTTGTAATTTATAAAAATAAGTGCCTCTGAATAAAAGTGAAGACGACAGAACACTAAATCAGCATCAGAAGATATGGGTACTTAACCGCTCCTTGCCATGTAATCCCAGCCTTGCTGAGCCTTTCTTTTCTTGTCTGTCAAGTGGAAATATTACTGATCACTGGTCTGCTGTGAGCATCAGTCAAAGCAAATGATGTGTTCCAAAACACGCTGTAAACTGCAGCACGTGCCAAAGAATAATATTATTATTAAACATAGCTATTACCTAATGTGCCCAACCTTGCTCTCCAAATTGATGACTGATAATGCTCAGACAACATGCCAGTGTTTCCAAAGGTTTCAATGCAGTGATGGAAAGTGATAGAAGTTTTCCATTTTCCCTCACAGGAATCTGCAGCTTATAAAGCTGTGAATGCACTTCGGTCGGTATATGGGGTACAATATAGATATGGACCTGCCTCCAGCACATTGTGTAAGTTTCCTGTGTATTTTGTTTTAGAATCATCTCTTGAACCAAGATCCTGTATAATGACTTCCCTTTAAAAAAAACAGAAAGTGTGTTCTCCTTTAAAGAGAAATTTTTGACAACCAAATTAGCCAAGGAAGATGGAGGGAGTTTATATCTGATTAGTTTTACACTGCATGACAGAAATCATTGTACCAATTTAAATAAATTCTAAGCAGAGAATTTTCTAAGCATATAGTAATGACTACAAAGCTGAATTGAGATCTTATGACAGTAGAAAGTGCCCAAGTGGGCTCCTTAAGCAATTGTAACTACTATAAGGGTGGAAATGGGCCTTGAGAAGGTAATGAAGTAATATCTCAGCCCTAAAAGAGCTTCCCTTTTATTCCTTTCCTCCACCATTCTTGTTAGGAAATTCTGTTTTTTACATAACACCTAAGGCTGAATTTCCCCTTAAAAGGTAATTAAAATATTTCTTACTTTATATGAAATAAAGAACAACTGGGTATATGGAAAGAACTTGAAGAATCAGAAGACATGGATTCTAGTCCTAATTCTCCTGCTAACTGTGATACATTCTTGGCCAAGATACTAATCCTGGGCCTCAGTTTCCACCACTTTTAAGTGAGGGATTGGACAAGGTTATTTCTCATGGTCTTTTAAACTCTAAAATTCATTAATTATATGACTTGGAAAATTTAGCATGAAATCATATACATCTTAATGTCTACATATGCACACACACACACACACACACACACACACACACACACACACACAGGTTGTATGTGTATGTATAGAGAGTGGCACCCAATCTCGCTTTCAGTGAAGTACGAAATTTCTCCTTGATTTCTTTAACCTACCCATTATTATATTCCTAACCACTCACTTTCTTGAGCCTTCAGAAGAAAAGCTTGGTTTGTCAATTAACATTGCTTCTCATGTAAGTTTATCCTAATAATGAGAATGTCTTAAGTATTAGAATTTTTTGCAAAGTCTATGATCATTGGTCTCATGCTGACCTCTTTAGAACTGTTTTTCAGTACGGCCATGCTGAAGGAGGAAAGATAGCATTTTTTTAAAAGTCATATTCCTAATTATCACCCCCATAATATACATTAGTTTTTAATATTAATTTTTAAAAATCTTACACTTCACCTTTTAAGCTTGGTATGAAGTTACAGTCATGGTATTATATTTACCAAGAACAATCTGTTACCATAGAAATGAGGCTGTCACATCACCATGACGTAACTCTTGGCACATATTGACTCTGACTTTGGCTTCTATGACCACTGTTTGCAGTTCCAGTGTACTCTAATCCAGAGGGACAATGAAGCCACCGCCTACCTTTTGTCCTTAACCAAAGCAAGAGGAGCCTGAGAAACAGCAAAGTCATTTAATTGTCTTAACTTAATATTCTATCTCTAACTTGTCCTGACAGAAGCAGCATAAAAAGTGGTATTATTTGAGCAGATGAACATGCTCTGAAAAATTTTTTAATAGTAATAGTGTTAGGTCAGTCTGGATCATATTGATTTCAAGAAAAAAGTATATAAAGATTCTTCTCTTAAAAATTTATTAAACAATTATTGAGAGCCTGTTATGCTAAAAAACGACATACTAGGCACTTTGGGGTGTCAAGATGCAAAATAATAGGGGCATATGTCCCTTAGCACATTATTTCATTTAATTTCCACAACACCACCATGCAGCAGGTATTATAATATCTTTTTCTAAAGAGGAGATTATGGTTCAGACAAGTCACAGTAGGTGGTGGGATACATACAGCCTGAGCCCTTAGTCTGCCTCTAATGCCTGCACTTTCACCTCTGTGCCGACAAGCTCACAAGCATGTGAGGTCACAAGAGCCAGAGAGAGGAGAGAGTTGCCAGTGGATTATCAGCTATGCTAAATGTTGTTGAGAGGTTGAAAGTGGCATCTGAGAGGGGGGGAAAAAAAAACCACCACCACCAACAACAACAATAACAAGAAAGGAGATTAGGCCTGCTGTCATTGGTGACCTTCAAGAACTAAGGTTTCATGGACAAGTAGAGGCAATAACCAGATTGAAAGTGGCTGAGGATACAGAGGCAACATATATAGAGTCTCTTTGCATTCTAAAGCAAAAGGACCAAGACAAGGAGGATGGTATATAGCATAAGAAGGAAGTGCTATAGGAAATCAGTGCTTGAATATTGTGGTCAATGCAGATGCAAGAGAGGGTGGTTTAATTAATGAAACGAGGTCCCAGAGAAGACCAGAGACCAGAGAAGACCATGATGAATAGAATCAAAAGATGACACCTGTAAAAAACAAGCATCCTCTCCTTCTCTGAGCTGGAAGGAAGAAAGCCAGAGGGCTGTGGCGTCAGTAGAGGAGGTGGTGGGCTGATTACCTTGTGTGGACCTGGGGACAATGGTAAAGTGAAGGGCAGGACCATAAGAGCGTGAGAAAAGTTCATTAAGTGAAGGTCTAGAAAAAGGAGCCTGGAGCAGCTGGCTCCAGGGAGCCAGGAACAGGCTGTCAGTGACTAGAGTGATTTTACAGCAAAGACTTTCTCCAGCTTCCTCTCAAGGAGTGAATGCAAAGAAACTGAGCCAGAGATTAGTTTGTAGAGGGGGAGAGGTGGGGGCTGAAGTGTGGGTGGAGATAAATGTTATTGGAATTGAGGCTGAGAAATCTTGAGATCATCACACTAGAAAAGCATTACTACTTACACTAGATCCTCAAAGATGATGGCCGGTAGGATTTTTAGTTCCATGAGCCCACTGCCAAGGAACCACTGTTAAATCATTCTTGTTGAAACAGTATTTAATTGTGAGGATTTAGGATAGCTTAGTAAGCAAGTATTATATATAAACTTTGAAAGTTATGCAGACTCTTTAGTGAGGCTCTTCTTTTTTTTTTTTTTTTTTTTTATTTTTAGATGTGAGCTCTGGTAGCTCAATGGATTGGGCCTACAAAAATGGAATACCCTACACATTTGCTTTTGAACTTCGTGACACTGGACATTTTGGATTTTTACTCCCAGAGATGCTCATCAAACCGACCTGTACAGAGACCATGCTGGCTGTGAAGAACATCACAATACACCTACTAAAGGAATGTCCCTGAGACAGCCCAAGGGTCAGGGCAACCACCAGAGAGAGAGCTAATTCTGTGCAAGAGCCACCTGGCAGTGGGGGAAATTTTTTTTTAAAGAGAAGAGCAATTTCTTAGAATGAACATATCTGTGCACTTTAAAAGGACCTACTCATGCAATTCACATTTCTGTGGCAATAAAAAATTGGTAAAAAAAAAAAAATTGAACATACCCTAGTTTGCTGTAAGAGAAGCATCCATGTTATATACGTTTAGAGTTCTATTTGATTAAGGGGGAGAGGGGATATTTTGAAACTCTATTGTCTCAAGAAATGTACACATTAAGGATTTCACTGCAATAAATCTCCTTTTCTCAGTTAAGATCTAGGCTACGAATGTTGTGTAATCTCTTGGTTTTCATTTGAAACAAACTTTTCAAATGAACTATATTTCTTAATAAATATACAACTTAACGAGACCTCAGGTGCTTCACATCTTCATCACTGGCATTAGTGCCTCATATACCTATAAAAATACAGCAAGATAAAGCATTCATGTTCAGACTCTGAGAATACCATTTACAAAAAAAAAAAAAAGGAAGAAGTAAACATTAATTGAGGTGCCAGACACAGTGTTAAGAACTTTATACTGATAATCTCATTTATTACTCAAATATATGAGGTAGATACTACTATCATCCTCATTTTTCAGATAAGTAAATTGAGACTTAGAAAAGTGATATATGGGGCACCTGGATGGCTCAGTCAGTTTAGGATCTGACTTTGGCTCAGGTCATGATCTCAAGGTTTGTGGGTTTGAGCTCCAGGTCAGGCTCTGTACTGACAGCTCATATCCTGGGAGCCTTCTTCAGATTCTGTGACTCCCTCTCTCTCCCTGCCCCTCTCTCTCTTGCACTCTGTCTCTTTCTCTCAAAAATAAATAAACATTAACAAAAAAAAATTTTTTTTAAGTGATATTTCCATTTTCAAGAATATGACAGGACAGGTGTCTGGACTGCTGGAAATAACAAACTTCTGGACAAAATATAATTTTTTAAAATGTTTACTTATTTATTTTTAGAGATAGAGTGCAAGCAGGAGAGGAGCAGAGAGAGAGAGAGGGAGAGAGAGAATCCCATGCAGGCTCCGCAGTGTCAGCACAGAACCCAACACAGGGCTCAATCTCATGACCATGAGATCATGACCTGATCCAAAATCAAGAATCAGTCACTTAACCGACTGAGCCACCCAGGTGCCCCAAAATATAATTTTTTAATCATCTTTAAGACATCAAACAAGAAAGTAAGAAAACCTCCTGTTAGGCATTGAGTGAAGGCAGGAACCCAGAAAGGTAAGTGGTACACTGTTACCCTGAGAGCATCTGTCAAGATAGGTGAGTGCAGACTTTGATTTTCACAGCATTTTGGAGGGTGGGAACAGAGAACAAAGCCCAAGGCTACTCCAAGGTGGGAAGTCCAATAACAGATTCTCCTCCTACCAGAATTCTAAGATTCCAAAGGGCTATACCTTCAGTTTAAGGGTAAATTATAAATAAACCCCCATACTGTCTTCAAGGGACAATTGACTATTTCAAAATTTGGCAAGAGTAGAGAGGGGAGAAACTACAGCTGAATCATAGGTCAGTTCTCACCAATTTGTGGGCCAAATTCAGATTACTTAAATGGTCTGATGCACCTCTAGCCAAGAATTTAATTCAGACTAATCCAAGATTGGTTATCCCCTCCAAGAATTTGGTAGAAGGAAACGCAAGTCCTCTCAGGATGAAAAGACGAGCCTGAGAACTTCCAGAAAGAGTGGGGGAGAAAAAGATGATCACAAAGGAAAGAGGACTAGAGTAACATGAAACTTTTCAACAGCACCACTGAAGTTTGAAGACAATGGAGAAATGCCTTAGTTTTCAGGGGCCATTCTGTCCTAAAAATCTACACCCAGCAAAATGATCATGAAAAGTGAGGGTGAAATACAAACACTTTCAAAGAATTGAGGTCCTAAATTATTAGCCTTTCTCAGGAAAGATATAGAAAAAGATATAGGAGGAGATCGGAAGATGGCGGCGTAGGAGGACGCTGGGCTCACCGCGCGTCCTGCTGATCACTTAGATTCCACCTACACCTGCCTAAATAACCCAGAAAACCACCAGAGGATTAGCAGAACGGAGTCGCCGGAGCCAAG